CCCCCGCCTCCCCTCCGCAGTTCCTCCGGCCCCCCGCAATTCCTACACCGCAGCTAGATACGGGGTTCAAAATCCCTGAAATTGATGCGGAGAGGGCTACAACCACGTTTTTGCAGCCGCAATACAAGCAGCGACGTGGGCTGCGGTGGCCGTTGTGAACATCCAAAGTCGGCTGTGCCATTTGAAGTTGGCTGCTTCAGCATCTGCCGCAATTCTCAGCCGGAGCCTATGCCCCACTTGCCCCCAGCATATACCCCCTCTGCCGCGTGAGCACCACCATTAGTCACACACAGTAACCACATCACACACAGTAACCACATGCAAACATTACAACAAAGTCCATGCCTCGCGTACTGGCACCGGGTACGGCGCTGGCCCTCTCACTCCATCCTGCGCCAACAAACCAAAACACCTGCCCAGGCGCACGGCAGCGCTGCCGCGCTGTCTTCGCTTTGCGAGGACAAATTGAAGAAGCCTGATCTGCAGTGCACACCTGCCTAAACTATAGTAACAACACCAAGCTGTACACCTGCACTCAAACATGCCGCGTTCGCAACGTGAGTGCAGCGCGGCTGCAGCCAAATCAACTCATAATGACGCAACTGGGACCCCGCTCAACCGCTCAAATCTGTCGGACCCCCCTCTGCTTCGTCCACGCTCCTGCCCGCTGCCGCCGCCGCCGCCGCCGCCGCCGCGCGCTGCTGCGCCGCCCGCACCTTCTCCAAGACCGACGTCACCAGTGGCACGTCCGCCGCCAAGGGGGCCGCGGCCAGGTAGCTTCCAAGGGCCTCTGCAGCTTCCGCCCACCTTCCCAGGGCGTACAGGCACAGGCCCTCGTCCCGGGTCAGGTCTGTGAGCGGACCCAGGGCGGCGGGCACGCCGCCGCCCGTGCTGCCGCGGCCGCCGCTGCGGCCCGCACTCTGCTGCTGCTGCTGCTGCTCCCCCTGCTGTTTGTCGGCCGCCTGCTGGTGCATGGCCTCCAGCGTCGCCCGCATGTACCTGCGAGTGCACAGCATTCATATCAGGGGGTCCACCAAACGGGTTGCGGACCTGCGGCCTGGCGGACTGGCGGGCTGGCCGATCGTCATATCCTGAGACTCAACAAGCCACAGGTGGGCTAACACACGATCAGCAATGCAGGCGGGTGCGCGCGTCGATGCGGCGGTCGTCGCGGCAGCGGGCCTTGCAGGTAGCTGAGGGACCACAGTAAGCGCCGCGCACACGAGGGCGCCGCAAGGCGACTCTACCCTCCCCCCAAAACACCCACCTCAGGATTGCCAGGGCGCTTTCTGGTTGGTTGGCCAGCAGGTACACCTTTTCGGGAGGCGAGGGTAGCCAGGAGGGGTGGGGGGGTGCACGACAAGTCGGGCAGGTGCTAGGGCCACTGCAACACATCCTGCCGCAGACCGTGGCGACTCGACAGTCAAGTCATCTAATAGCCCGATTGACCGGCTTGGCGTGTCGCTCCTCGCAGAAGCTGGAGTAGGGCACCTGACCATCAAGCGCAGCGGTCCACACCCCCACCTGCCGCAGGTTGTTGAGCCACCTCAGCAGGAAGCTGCCGCCGTTCATTGCGGGCGCCGCGCCGCTGGCCCAGCGTGGGTCCAAAACCACCTGTCATGCGTGGGGCGCCACCACGCACGGTTAGCCACCAGAAAACCCAAACTGCCCAGCAGGGAGAGACGAACAAGACCACTTGTCACGACGCTGCGCCACACAGTCGGCCAACACGCACCCAAAAAAACCCAAACGGCTCAGCGGCCAGGGGCATGCAGACAAGTCCTTCAAATTGCCCCTGGCTGCTGCAGCCCAGCTGGCAAACCCGCGCGCCGTGCCATGCGCATGCACCGCCCCTTCCATCGCCCGAGCAAGCAGCAGCCCGCCGCGCCCTCGCTTGTGCCACCATGGGCCCTATCCCCGCGACCCCTCTGCTGACAATCAGGCAGGCCCATCCGTAGAAGATGCCAAGCACCGCATGCGGCCCCGCGCGCCTGCATTCCCGTGATGCCGCTCAGCCGCTCCTCGGCATCCTGCAGCCAGCACACCTCCCCTGAATGGAACGCATCGACGAGCACCCCAAACCCCCCTTCCTCCCCGTCCTCCTCCTCTTCCTCCTCCCCAGCTGCGCCCGCCGGCGCCCGCGCCGCGCTGCCGGCCCCGGCTGCGGCGGCGGGCTGAGACCCAGGGCTGGGGCCCGCAGGGGCGGCGGCGGGCGCGGCCGGGCGCAGCATGAGGTGCGCCGGCAGGTTGACGGGCTCCATTCGGAGGCCGACCGCGGCGGCAACTGCCATGTACACAAGGCTCAGGGAGATGGGGATGCCTTTGGGGGCCCGGGGTGGTTGGCAGGAGTCGATGGGTCAAGTGGCGTGGAAGGGGGGCGCGCCCCTGCCTGCAAATCGGGAATGCGTCCGACCGCATGGGACCAGTCTGGAGTGCATGATGGTGGCATTCACTCGCAGCCTAAGAAGAACGGGGGATTGGGTTCATGTGTGTCACAGCGCAGCCCTCTTGCTCATGCAGCCGGCAAAAGCGAATGATGACACTGTTTGTGCTGCCCACGTGCCTAGGCGTGGGACCCTCACCGCGCCGCCGCCGCAGCACCGCATCTATGCATGAGTTGTCGGGTGAGTAATAGTCCTCGCTGTCCCCTTTGAACCCCTCCTGGTCGTAAAGCACCTGAGGGTGTGTGCGTGTGTGCGTATGTTCGTATGTCCTGATGTGTGTGTGTATGTGTGTGTTGAACGTTGTGTACCTGTCAGGCCGCCCAGCGAGAAAGCAGTCCCAATCGCCAGGGACCGCGTCCGCCCACAGCGCATGCCACACAGCACTTCTGATTCATCACTGTGTCAGCGGTGTCGCATGGTCATGCAACTGCGGGGACGCCATCATGATCTCACAATGCACCCACCGCGTTGACCTCTTTGACCATGCGCAGGGGGTACCGCGGCGCCCCCGGCGCCATCCGCGCGTCCACGGCCGCAGCCAGCCTGCTGACCTCCCCGCGGCACCATGCCTCGTCCAGGCGCGGCCGCGCGTGGCGCGCGATGAGCAAGGCAGCAGTCAGGAGGTCGAGCGGGGCTGGGGACCCAGCTGCGACGCTGCCGCCGATATTGCCGCCGCTGCTGGCCGCGGGCTGCTTCGGCGCCGCAATCAAAGCGGTCGCAGGGGCAAGCACGTCGGAGGAGGAGAGGAGGGATCGGTAGTCTTCAAGGGCCCGTACGCGCGCGAGGCGGTCTGCCAGAGCCGCTGGCAGCGCCTCGTCGCCGGCACTCGTCAAATCGTCCGCCGCGGCAGAGGGAAGCGTAGGGCGAACGCGCCGCGCTACAGTCGGCGAGACATGGGTTCGGGACGCTGTGAGAGTTTTCAATCGTTGAAGCTGCATTGCCAAACACGATGTGGTCAAAAAAATATGTGGTGATCGATCCGGGGCACGCTGCTCCACAGCGTTCTGTATCAGCGAAGCATAAGATGTAAGGTGTACTCGATCTCAACACATTGCTTCTCTCGCGCACACACACAGTATTTCAGGTGACAACACAACGTCGCCCGCCGCGCTCTTTGCACTGCTGCTGCGTCCACCTCGCCACACGCAGTTTGGCTTGCTCACGCCCGCAATCTCCATCCACTCTGCAGTCACCCTGCATTTGATGCATATGATGCAGTCATTTGCACCGCATTCTCGATGATTTCATGAGCCATGCCCTCTCGTCTTGGCCATCAGCGTGCTGAGCCGTAGAGCGATGAAGAGCCCAGCAGGTCCATGAAGATTGCGAATGTTGACAACCAGCAACACAACCACAACTCCTGACTGCATCCGCACCCATTCCATCGCGCTCCCGCATATCACCACTCCAGCACTGAGTGCAGATGACGGCAGCGGCCACACTGGTGCTGAAACTTTAAATCGCACTGCGTGTACAGCGCGCAAACCGGATTGGTGAAGGGAAGCTGCTGTGCCACACAAGACGCTGATGAGTCTCTGCTGCACACGATGTTGTTGGGCCACCTGCCCCTGCGTAGAGGCACAGCAGCAGAGCACCACAGCGCGCTAGCAGCTCTCAGGCAGTTCGCGCTTCTGCACTTGACCTCACCCAACGGGAGCCTTGATTGTTTTATACATTCATTTTTATTGTTGCTTTGCATATTGTTACGTATCGCCGCGAGGCTCGCATCAAGCGGCCTGATCAGCGATCATTGAACCAAAAGAGGTTGACCTCGCCCGCGGTCCCTCTGCGTCGTCTAGGAGCTTTAATACCCGACATGCAATGTCGAAAACTCGGTATAGTTTAAAGTTCGGCGTTTGGGCCATCTCGCTCGCCGTCACCATCGCAGCTGCTGCAGCGGCCGCAGCGGATGGCGCCGTGCCCTCTGTTCCACTGGAGGCAGCGACAGCAGCACCCCCATTGACCGCGGCAGAGAGTGCTGCCCTCATATCACAGCTGCCCAAGCCGATGCCACGCGAGGTCGCGGCAGCTGCGGGGCGATCGGGCTCATCCGCCGCGGAGGTGGTAGCTGCCGACCTTGCAGGTGCGCTCTCGGGCCTTGTATTGCCGCCACCGTCTCTGCCCACACACCCGGGCCTGCATGCCGCAACACGTGCATGGCTCACAATGCAACTGCAGCAAAACCTTTGCGGGGTAGTCCCACCTGGCGTCAGTGCAGTCCCAAAAACCCCATGCACTCGCGCCTCGCAACTCCCGTGCAGGCCCGTCCGAGGCGGAGGACTCCGCTTACTACGGTCTCGAGCTCACCGGCGCCGCCGACGCCGACGCCAACAGCAGCGCCGTCTCCGCCGCCGCCCGCGCCTCCGCGGCCGCCGCCATGGCCACGGACGTGGTCAACCGCTTCGCCGCATTTGGCCCCATGCGCCTGATCGCCGCGCGCGTGATGGAGGCGGCCGGCGCCAAGGCGAGGAAGACGGTCGAGGCGCTGACGCCCGACCAATACCCCATGGCGACGCAGCCGAGCGGCGAGTGGGAGGTCGTTAAGGCCGGCCACTGGATGAGCGGCCTGTTCTCGGGCGTGCTGTGGCAGCTGTACGAACACAGCGGCCGCAAGGAGCAGTTTTGGGCGGACAAGGCGCAGGAGTGGCAGGCGGGGCTAGCGGGCAGGCAGCGCGAGTCCGGGTCCCAGCACGACTTTGGTGAGGGGTTGGCGCGCACCTGAGGGGAGGGCGGCTGTGTGAGGTGCAGCCAGCGCTCCCGCTCGCAGCTGCAGGCAAGTGGGTCAGTGCTGCGTGCCCAGTTGCAGCTGCTCAAAGCTGCCAGACACGCCAAGCGCGTTCACACGTACACGCACAGACATCACACACACTCTCACACACATACACACACATATACACATATACATACACAAACACACATAGACACACAAATACACACACAAACACGCACACAAGCACACACACGTGCCCAGACAACACGTACACACACACACACGCGTGCACACACGCGTGCACACACACACACTGTCCCCAGGATTCATCTACCTGCCAAGCTTTGCCCATTCGTACTCTGTCACCGGCTCGCCTGAGGACAAGCGGCAGGCGTTGGCGGCGGCAGAGGCGCTCTCGTGGGCGTTTGTGCCCGGCTCCAAGAGCCTGCGCAGCTTTGATGGCTGGAAGACGCCGTCCTCCACCGACGCCTACCAACAGATCGTTATCATCGGTAGGCGGGCATGATCAAACCATGCTCAGGTTTCTGCTTTGACTCCTATGTGGCTTTGGGGCCCCAGGTGTTGACGGTCTGTGGTCAAAATGCCGTGAGCCTGGGCCTGCTTCAAACGTGCGCGGCCCGCCAGGGCGCAGTGGCGCAGAACCAGCTGGGTTCGTGCAGAGCTGCGTCTTCGCGGCGGACAACCCACCCACGACGGCCACCTCACCGCAGCACAAGCCTTTCTTGTCAAGTGACGCTGGACAAGCAATCCACACAGAAACCCCCAAACCTCGCCCTTTGCATGGATCCCTCTTCTCAGACTTCATGATGAACATCCAGATGCTGGTGTGGGGCGCCCGCCACGTCACCAGCCCCGCCCTGGACCTGCGGATGGACCCACGGCCGGCGGAGACCTGGCTGCAGATGGCCAAGGACCACGCGCGCCAGGTGGGGCGGCCGGGGCGGCGCGGCTAGGGGCGCAGGGGCTGGGCGGTTGTTGGTGTCGCTCTCAGAGGTGCTTGATGCCCGACATGCACCCCGTGTGTTGATCCCTCAACAAGAGGTCCGGTGTTACTGCCGTACAGCTGGGACGCGTGTGCCCTGCGATGATGGTTGACACCACCCACACTGCTTGCACCTGCCGAAATCAGGTGGCTGCCAATCATGTGCGGCCCGATGGTACCACTTACCACATCGTCGAATACAATCCCAACACGGGTGAGGAGTATGCGTGTGCCGAACGGGCGTTGGTGTTGATTTGTCACAAGAGCAGCTGCAATAATATGCAATGCACCGGCGATCAGAGCGGCTCGCTTGCTGATGCCCCCTTCAACGTTTTGCGCCATTAGGTGATGTCGTCGCTGCAACTGCATGGCAAAGGCATGCAACCGCGTCCAATGACAAGCCCCATAAAATACAAACATGCACGCGCACGCCATCGCGCATATGTGCACCTGCGCGCGCGCGCGCACACACACACACACACACACACACACACTACTCAAACGTCCTCTTGCACAACCCACCAGGCTCAGTCAACAAAAAGTATACCTACCAGGGCTACTCCGACTCGAGCACCTGGGCCCGCGGCCAGGCTTGGGCCATCTGCGGCTTTGCCATGCTCCACAACGCCACTGGCGACCACGACTTCCTTGAAACTGCCAGGAAGCTGACTGACAAATACCTCGAGCTGCTTTCCGCCCAGCCGGCGAAGGCGGCGCGCGCCGTCAAGGCGGCCGGCGGCGCCGCGGCTGTCGCGGCGGCCGCGGCGCCGCCCGCGCCGCCGAGGGACGCGCTCGTGCCGCAATGGGACTTTGACGCGCCGTGGCACCCAGAGATGGACGGGCCGCGTGACACGAGCGCTGCCGCCGTCGCAGCACTGGGTATGCTGTACCTTGCAGAATCCGAGGCTGCAGTGGGGACGGCCGCCGCTGCTGGCCCACAAACCATCGGCCCGCCCGCGGAGGCGGCTGCCGGAGAGGCGCGGCCGGACTCGCAGGCCAGCCGGGGCGCGGCGGCGCGCTATCTCGACGCCGCCGCCAGCACGCTGCGCGCGCTGGCGGCGCCGAAGTACTTGGCGCCCGCTGGGGGCGCGGGAAGCTTCCCCGCGCTGCTCAAGCACGGGACTGGCGGCTTCCCCTTGCGAAACCATGTGGATGTCGGGCTCATCTCTGGGGATTACTACTTGTTGGCGGCACTGAATAAGTGCCTGACGATGCCCGCCTGCGTGGGGCACGTGGGCAGCGCGTGATGGGGCCGGTCGACCCGCCGCGCGCGCGGGCGCGCCGCTGGCGGCGGCAGGGGTCCTTGGGGTGCAGAGGCCGCGGCACGCACATGCCCAAAATTGTAAATGCTTTTACGGGCTGCGGAGCGGGCGCGGCCTGGGCGAGGCTGCAGATTTGAAAAGAGGAGGTTTGTCCCGTGCTGGAGCCGCAGGGGTTCCAAATCTGAATGGCGGGCGCGAGGCAGGCGTGCTGTTTCATGTTGGGGGCTTTTTCTGCAACGCAGCTTACTGCCCTGTGAGAAAGAACAGAGAAAGCATGAAAGCATGGGGAGGCATCAGGGTGCGGAGCAGTTGCTAGCAGGCAATTTATGTGGCTTGTGTGTCACCAGTAGGGCCCGCCGCCTGAGATCCCATGGGTCATAGGGGGGGGGGGTCAGCTGCCTCACGTGGGCGGCGGCGTCACCACTGCCACCAGTTATGCGCGCGGCCTGAGCTAGCAAATGGCCGCCCTACACAGGGCGCGATTGCAATCTTCCTGCACCCAAGCACATCTGGCAGTACCGTCGCGATCGTGGATGGCGCGGTGAGGATGGGGTGCAGCCAAGTGACACCAGCGAGGTGAATGTGGACGACTGACGGTCACTGGACCAGGCTGGCGACACTGTTCGTGGATACAAATGAGTGCACACATCACGACTTAGTACAAGGGGCCATGACTTGGTGGTATTCGCGTGAATCTATCAACTCTGTACTTTCGTTGTTCACGGTGGTGTCACTCACGGCATGATACCCTGTGCTCCCCGTGGGCCCACCTGAGAGCAGCGATCTCGTCAGGAGACGGCGTGCACAGTTTCATAACTCAATGACGGGCACTGCGAGTGAGCATGTTGATGTTGGCAACAGCGGCAGTGGCGCGGCCGTCATGCCCTCAGCAGATGCTGCGCCAGGCATCGCGGCCCCCACAGGCGGCTGGGGCAAGGCGCGCGGCGCGGTGATGAACCGCGTGGGCGTCAGCAAGGCGTTCAAGACGCTGCGCGATATGGCGGGCGCCGATGGGTACATCGACCCCGCGACACTGGAGCCCGTCAAACCTCTAGGGGAGGGCGCCTTCGCACGCGTGGAGAGCGCATGGTGGGTCCCACATGCGTGCACATGCGCGCACATGCGCGCACATGGCGGCCTCGGTCTTGACCTTGCCGCGGCCCCGCGCCCCCGCCGGCACACCCTAGACGGCCAACTGCCGCGTCGACAAGCACGCATGGGCCCCTGTCTGCCGCGCCCCCGCGGCCGTGGCCACCCCTCGAAGCTGCCTCGCGCAACGCGCAGGCACTCGCCCCCTGGCGGCGGGGCGCGCTACATGGTGGCCGTCAAGCACCTGAAGCCCGAGCTCTACTCGGATGAGTCAGAGCTCACTCTTTTCGCCTCGGAGGTCGACCTCATGCGGAAGCTATCCCACCGAAATATCGTCGGCTTCGTCGGCGCGGGCGAGCCCGGAGCCGGCGGCTCCGTCGGCGCGTTCGTCGTGCAGGCGCGCCAGCCTTGGGCTCCCGCGCCGCGCGTCGCGCGCCCTATCTGCATGCTGCCGACACCTTCCGCGCCGCCCCTGTGCACTGCGGCCTCCCTGCCCTCTCCCCACCCCGTAATGCCCACGCTGTAGCCACGCACGCAAGCAGCATTCGCCCAAAAGGTGTATTTGTACACATGCAGTACCCCAAGCATCCCCAAACATCATTTTATCAGACGCATCATGCATGCCGATCATGTCCAACCCAGGAGTTCATGGGCGGCGGCACCCTCAAGCGCCTGGTGTACGACCAGATGATGGCGGGGCCGCGGGCAATCTACACAGACGCAGCCGCCCTGTCGATGGGGCTGCAGGTGGCGCGCGGGCTGCGCTACCTGCACAACTCCATGCCCATGGTGCGGCCAGCGGCCGCGCCCGCGCCTGCGCCCTGCTTGCTGCCGTCGTGCCTGTATGCGATGCGGGTGGGTTGATTCGGCCTGGCCTGTTGCCTCTTGTTGTTTGGACTGGTCTTTGTGGTTGCCAGGCGGCTGCCCGATCAGGCACACGCCCAGTTGCGCCATTGCGTGATGGCCATCATAGCGATTTGGTCTGATCTGATGTGATCTGATCTAATCTGGCTTGATCTGCCTTTCAGGTGATCCACCGCGACCTCAAGCTGGAGAACATACTGCTCAAGGGTGCGCCCGCCGGTGCTTGTATGTGGGGAGCTCCCTTGCTGGCCCCTGCTTTTACCCAGCCTCCGCTGGCGGTCTGCCGATGCGGAAACCTACGCCAGCTTTCAACACACACGCCTTTCGCAACGCCCGCCCATTCACGCCGGCGTTGCCACGCCGCAACAGACGCCCTCCATCCCACATCACCGCCGCTCTTCCCTGTATCGTTCACGCCCCTCTACCCTACCCTACGGTTTGCATCCCGCAGCCGCGAGGCCCAAGGATGGAAGCTGGGAGGTCAAGATCGCAGACTTTGGTCTGTCAAAGACAGTGGAGGTCCACCACGCGGCACTGGCGGCGCGCCGCGCCGAGCCGGGCGGCCCGACCGCGACCGCCGTCGCGGCGGCGGCCGCGGGGGCGAGGGACGGGTGAGAACGCGCACACTTGCCCGACGTCCTTGTCGCTGCTGCCTGGTTGCCTGCTGACTGTATGTGGCTCACAGCTGCCGCTTTTCCTCCTCCACTCATGCCCCCTTCGCACGCCCAAGCCCCTGCCACTCCCCTGGCCCTTGCACCCAGCGTTGCACCGTGCGTGCCGACTCCCCACGCGCGACCCAATCACGACAGCACGGCCCCCGGCCATCACTTGACCCCAGCCTCGCCCCTCACCCATCCCCAAATACCCTGTCACAAGCCACGAGCTCGAGCGCCTGTGGAGCCGCCGCGCATCCGACTTCAGTCTGGCGTCGCCCGCCGGCGGCGGCGCGCGCCGCCTGCGAGCTCCGTCCGTGCTGCCGCCCGCCGCGGAGGCGCCGACGTCGTTCGATTTGACCGGTCAGACCGGGTCCCTGATGTACATGGCGCCGGAGGTCTACTTGCAGCAGCCCTACAACGAAAAGGTGGGCTTCTGGGCCGGGCCGGCAGTAGCTGGGGTGCAAAATACGGTGCCGCTGCCCGGCGGCAGCCAGGCCAGGGTCGAGTGCTGGCTGAGCGCGCGACAGGTGCAGTGCAAGCACAAGCAATCATGTGACTGCAGCGCTTGCGGTGCTCCTCCTTGGGACCCTTGGTAGCACCCCCCTCTCCTTGCCCGTCGAGGCCAGCAGCGCGGCGGCGCTCTGGACCCTGGCTGTGGTGCCAACCCAGCCTCTATCACTATTGCAAACTCTCAAGTTTGGCCACAGCTTTGGACAATCTTATCAATGTCTCCACCCCGTGTGTGGAGGCCAATGCCAGCTGCCCAAATTGCCATGGCCGCCCACCCCCCCACCCCTGACCCCCCGGGCAACCTAGGTTGACGTGTTTAGTTTTGGCCTCATACTGTTCGAGCTGCTGCAGAAGTACGTGATGCTCTCCGCCGTCTCCATCAGGGGTGAGCCGGACGGGGAGCGGTTGTCCTTCGCTTCGCCAGGCTTGAACTGGCCAGCTGCATTCCCTTTGACGCAGCTGCTGACCAATTCAGATTCGAAGCAGCCGGCGCTTTGGGTTTCCAGCGGGCTTCATGAATGATCGCAGCCCGTTTTTGAGGAGCTTCAAGGACCCGCCTCTGCAGCGGCCAGCACGGCTGCAGCCCACCGGGCTGGTCATAACCAGCCTCGCGGCCCGATCAATCCGTTCACGCCCCATCCGAGCCGGCGCGCGCCCTCCAACGCTGGTTGTCTCAGTCTTTGAAGCCCGTCCACGCCCTGCCGGCCCCCTCATTTGTTGATGCGAAGGCACTCGCGAGGAGTTGGAGGCGTACGCGGCGCGCATCTCCCAGGGCTACCGCCCCCCGATCCACGCCAGGTGGCCGCCTGCGGTGACGTCACTCATCGAGGTGAGCTAGGGATGCCACGTTGTGTGTGTAATACTGTCCATAGGGATTATCTGTTTGTATGTGTTCATGTATGTATGTGTGTGTGTGTGTGTGTGTGAGAGAGAGAGTGGGAGGGTGTGTGAGTGCAAACGTGCGCGCGCGCGCGCGTGTGTGTGTGTGTGTGTGTGTGTGTGTGTGTGTGTGTGTGTGTGTGTGTGTGTGTGCGCGCGTGCGTGTGCGCGCACGCACGCACGCACGCACGCGTGCGCCTGCACATCGACCTGCTTTGAGTGCAGAGCGTGCTGCACATTGTTGCACCAGACTGCGCACCGCCCAGTCTGGCGAACGAAACATATCTCAGGCCTAGACTCCAAACCCGCCTTGGGTTAACAAGCGCCGACACATGTGCACCCCCCACCCACCGCCCCCTCCCTCACCACAGCACACCTGCGCGGCCCCCACATCTAATCCCCTGCGCCCCTTCCCAGAGCATGACCGCGCCCCACGCGTCCAACCCGCCCCAACCGCAACGCCCACCTACTGTCAACCCGCAGGACTGCTGGGCGCAGGACCCCGCCGCGCGCCCCTCGATGGACAAGGTTGTGGCGCGGCTGGAGGAGATCCAGGCGTCGGGCGTCCTGGGGCTGGAGGCCGCCCCGGCGGGCTGCGCGTGCACCATCTGCTGACCCGGCGTTTCCAAGGTTGCCGGTTGGGACGCGCCTCCCAGCCGCAGACTTTATGAGGTGCTGGGGCCCAGCCACTTGGTTGCTGCCGCCGTGTCCGGCAGGCATACTGTGCCTGATTTTGTCAGGTCCACGGGGATGGACTGCGGTGGCGGCTGATTGACCAGGCGCGCCTGCTTGGCCTGCTGATGGAACAGGTTTTGCGGCAGCTTGATGTGCAAGGATGCAGGGGGTTTCGGTCCTCTTGGCACTCGACGCTGTCGGCAATCTTGTGCTTATGTGCCACAACCCTGCTGTGGCCCCGGCTCCGCTTACTACGCACAAGCAGCTTACAACTTTGCATAGTGGTGCACTGCTTCCAGTTGTGGTCAATTTGTCACGAGCAGGCCGTCCGGCAGCGAGCGGACGCCTCATAGTGCGAGCCTTCCACACAACTTGTCACAAAGCGCTGCGAGCGAAACACGCATACTTGGTGGCGCACGTATACTTGGTGCGCCCACGGATGGCGGAGCGCGGGCAGCAGCCATCATTTTGGCTGGCACCCTGGTTGTTGGCCCCTTCCTGCGCGCATAGCAGTGGGTTTCCTATCCCATAATTGGTGTTGAAAAGCATCCACCTCATTGTGTGTTGTGTGAAAGCTTACTTTTCGCGCCACCAGGCGTTGTGCGCGAAATGTCACATGTGTGTTGGGCAGCTGCGCAGCAGCTCAGCTGTACGGTTGCTGGTCATCTGTTTGTCCGACAAGTGCGTCGCGCATGATGTGCGAAGCAAAAAGCGTTCCACGCACGACCGATGTTGCTCTTTTGCCCTCTAGCAAAATCAATCCTCAGTCCACCGCTGAGCCCTCCCCCTTTATCTGCCGCACCCTTGAAGGTGGCCCCCAACTGCAATATACCTACTTCGGCACACCTGGGCATTCCGCCCAGGCTATCACCGTAGTGCAGCCGGTCGCTTTGATGATTCACTGCAATCTCGTCCATCCCAGGCAACGCCTCTGGGTGGGTGCGGCCACAACAACACAACCACACGCAACTCTGTGCGTCAATCTCAAGATCTTACGGCTTTGCCTGTTTGAGCTGTATTTCAAGTGACGAAGCAGACGTGTGTGTAAGAAACAGGGACAATGGCAGAGCCCATGCATGAAGCGTGTTGCCAATGCAGCAAGAAGATGCCGCTCCATCTGCCGTAAACCACCGACTGTTCTCGAATCACTGGCCTGCTGGCTTATGACTCAATGGTCGACCACGGGGCACACTGGGTGCAGGTGTTTGGAAGCCCCTAAAAGTCCGTGCCTTTTGCAGACAGGGCTGAGAGGATACAAATTTGCAGCATTCATGCCAAGCAACAGATTGGAGGGGAAGAGACATACATCGAGTGCCACAATGTCGACAAGATGTTTGGGTACCATAAGTGCCATGCATCATTGTCAATCAGCGGGCCGCATCCCAGTGCACCCCTAGTGAGGGAGCCCGCCTGCACCTCAAGTCATGATGCTGGCCGGCCG